TAAGGTTTTGTCCTACGACATAAAAAGTTGGTTGCTAACAAGTGCCTAAATGAGACGACTAAACGTCATCACACTCAACATTAGCCACCTTTAGCTTAGCGGTGGTGACTTGAAGTCATGTGACCGTGCTGTAGTTCCTTTATAGCCCAACATTAGCCACCTTTAGCTTAGCGGTGGTGACTTGAAGTCATGTGACCGTGCTGTAGTTCCTTTATAGCCCAACATTAGCCACCTTTAGCTTAGCAGTGGTGACTTGAAGTCATGTGACCGTGCTGTAGTTCCTTTACAGCCCAACATTAGCCGCCTTTAGCTTAGCGGTGGTGACGTGAAGTCATGTGACCGTGCTGTAGTTCCTTTATAGCCCAACATTAGCCGCCTTTAGCTTAGTGGTGGTGTCGTTGGTTATAATGACAAAGTGTATCCACCAAAGGAAAACAAAATCCCCCCCATGAAGATCTTTCTTAAAAGCTTCCAATTTGCCCAACATTAAACAAACAAACTCTTAAACACTTTTCACCACCATGCCTATTTAATACATTCACGCAGCTTTACATACGGAATAATGGTGATGTGTGCAGTGGAGGAAAGAAAAAGACATGCCGCTGTGACTGCCTCTAATCAGTCAAGCTTTCTACAGCTATGAAATTGTCGCCTCGTGAAGCTGCGCTGTCTCTTTGTGCTGTCAGGATGCTTAGCTACCTGTCTTTGATCAGGCGAGTTCTTCCAAAGACTTCCCATGAATCTCCTGGAGAGAATCAGGCCGAGACTGCCTCCATCGAGTGGCGACACGCTGAAGGCTCAGCGGGATTTCTCCGTGGAGCTCCGGCTCACGATTATTCCTGCTTTGCTTCCATGCTGCACATGAAGAGAGATTTACATTTAAAAACCCATCCCATGTCCTGTCATTCGGGTTCACACTTGCACTTTTTGCCTCGAGCATTTGATTACAGATTTGAACACTTTTCCGTGAATACGCAAGCATTTTAATTTGCCTGCAGGAAGAGTCACACTGCAGGTGTTCCTCTGCACTCTTTCTGAATCCCACCTGTGCCGCTGTAGCTGAGGCTGAGAGATGGAATGGAGTTAAGTCCGGAGAAAAGGATATTCTTTAATTTGCAGCATCGTAAATCATCTGCCAGGAGAAGCAGGATGGGGTAAACGAGAGCCAGAGCTCCCTTTAATGACTCTGTAAGGCGCCTTAATAAAACCTCAGATAGAGCTACTGATATACTGAGGATCATCTTACCCCAGACTAATTACCAATGCAAATCATTCATTCTTGAGAACATATTATGTTTGATAATTAGATCATTTTCCACACAGTTACCTTAGTTTGTATTTGAATGCTGTTACATGGTGTCTGTGGCAGGCATTGACTCGCTTTGGTTTCGTCAGATATTAGATAAAGAGTTGTTGATTTTCAAAGGAACAAGATTCATTATTAGCTTTTACTTTGGAAATGTTTCTGGCAAACTGTATCTTCATATGACTTCCTCTGACAACCCAAAGGCCACTTTAAGTACTATTAAGTAAACATTAAGTTGTTCATGGTAAATTGTACTAGGGCTGCTCGATTATGGCAAAAATCATAATCTCGATTATTTGGGTCAATAATTGTAATTGCGATTATTAAATGCGATTATTCATTGACTTTGAAAACATCCATTTATTGTACTTTAAAACAAATACAAATAATAATTTCAACTTTTTAACTGTTGAATTATATGTTCAGGGGAATCAACTGAAAAACCAATACAAAATAAAATAAATTATACATTCATGTCTACATTTAAATAAATAATATTAAAATAATAAATACCAATAAACAAGATCAACAAACATGTTGCAGTGCACTGTCACAACCTGAAAACTCCTTAACATATAGCCAACATGTTGGTAAAACATATTCAACATATTCCACTCACTCCACTGGGTCAATCATTTATATCACGATTATTAAAAACGATTATCCATTTACTTTGAAAACATCAATTTATTGGAGAAAAAACATTTGGACAGTATGTTTTTGACAGTTGATTACCCTGAACTTTAATTATAATTCAACAGAAAAAAAAAAAAAAAAAAAAAAATCGTTTTATTTCGATTACGTTGTTTTCGTAATCGTTGCAAGCCATAATCGTAATCGCGATTAAAATACGATTAATTGAGCAGCCCTAAATTGTACCCTAACTAGAAGATAAAGGTCCAACTAAAATTGTCAGAAATGCAAACAAGAACCACTCGAAGTCCAGATCTACAGCAAAGCCTGGCTTATCGGTAAAGGTTGTAGCCCCTTGCATTGGTCTAAACTGGTGTTGTAAGGATTAATAAGACCCTAACTCTACACCAAACACCAAAGTGAATCTTTCAGAAACCGGAGATTAGAGTTAAAAGTAAAAATATGACTTTAAAGAAAGTGTAAATTGTCTTTAAAGAAAAGGATAATATTTGCGCCACTGGATTTCTTTTGTAAGCTAACAGTTGATTGTCGTTCAGCTCAATCAAAGTCTTTTTACTGCTGTAGATGTTCATCAGAATAATATGGATAGTGCACTTGAGTAACCATGGTTCAAGTTTAAGAAAAGACAGATACTGATGAGTGGAAGAGCAGGATTTCCACTTTCTATACTTATAAAATTGCCAGAATACAATAAAATACTAACTTTTGGTAATAACAGTGTGCTGAATACACAATGTTGTTGATTGAGTAAATATCCCCATGCTTGCTACTTCCTTCGGGGGTCAGCAATGGTAATGAAGTCCACAAACACTCGCCTCTTTCTCGCATAATGAGAAGCCAACTGAATATATGACAAACGCACGTCTGATTGCACCGTTAGAATGGCCTTCTGTGTATAATATAACCCGAACAAGTGAGCCCGCTAACAAGCAGACAGTTCAACAATGTCCCTGTAGAGAATCTAGACCCATAACCCATATGCGCGGAGACGTTGCACTCTAGTGAGCACAGAAATATCATCCCAGACTTTCATTCATCGAGGGTATGCTGCTGGGAAGATGGTTGTTCTTTTGAGCAGGCGAAGCAATTTGATTTTGAGCCTGGCCTTATTGTGCTTTGCCCTCGTGTCAACATTCCTCTCGCTGCACCCAGAAACTAATGTATATTCTGTTTCCATCTTCTTTCTCTTTACCCAGCCGCCATCCAGGTGCAGATCACGCCAACACAGGGAGAGATCAGCGTGGGAGAGTCCAAGTTCTTTCTCTGCGAAGGTAAGAGTGACGTCGTCAAGGCAACCTCATTCAACCTCATGCAAATGTATGAACTTACTGGCAGAATTTAGATAATAATGATAGAAGTTAGTTTATTTAACAATACTAAAGGATGAACTCTCATTGGAAGATGGTCTAAATGAATTTAACTGTCTTTTCTGTGGATGTAATGAGAAGTTTGGCTCACACAGAGGTGGAAAAGAGAAGCAGTGTGAAGAGATAATGAGGAAAGGTCTTTCGTTATGTTCACCGCTGAGTGAACATTTGCAGGTGTCAGCTTCTCTGAGATACAGGTGGTATTTGCATTATGGGGTCAGCTGACATCAAAGAACATTTTCTACACGATTAAAAGCATGCCAGTCATAGGGTCACAGTTATAATCACACTCTCACTGCAGAATATGTACATTAACGGCTCTTTTCAACCAAATTACAAAATGAAATGGTGCCTTGAAATGCAGTTTGTCTCACCCACGGCAATATATTTCCTTAAACTGAGCAACCTGACTCTTCAAAATGTAAATTACCATGTGCCCATTACCTTTTAACGCATACTTTGTTGCAAATTGCATCAAGAACAGTTAACGAACCAATAAGAACATTTGAAAAGGTTTATTTGTAATGTTAGTATTGAATAAATGAATGGTCCGGGGATGAAAGTGTTTAAAACATATTCCTACTTACTCTCAAATGATCCGAAAATGTGCATGCACTCACTCAACAAATTATTGAAATAGTTTCTTCCTGTCTTTTTCCGAACCCTTCGTAATTACCTACTCTACCAACTGACCTCAGACCGATCCCACTCGACAATAAAAAAATCTTAAAAACCCCATTTCACCACAAAGTGACACCCTTTAAAGTCTCTGTGTATTTAAAAAAAGTAACTCCAGACCTGTTGCTACCCAGAGAACGTTCACGATGAAAGCTCATAGTGGATGGATGAAAGAACATGGCTTCAGCTCGAACGCCAATCATCCCGTTGGAGAGGATGTATCTAGAAATGTTAAGGAACAAATAAGAACATTTAAAAAGGTTTATTGGCAATGTTAATATAAATAAATGAATGTTCCGAAGATGAGAGTCTTGAAAAGAATATGCCTACTTATTCTCAAATGATCCAAAAATGTGATTTCACTGATCAGTAACTCAACAAATTCTTAACCCCCCTGTCTTTTTTCAGACCTTTCGTAATTATCCGCTCTGACCTCATACCCCTCAACCTCAACCCCACCTTTTAAACATCTTCAAACCACATTTCACCACAAAGTGACACCCTTTAAAGCAGGGGTGTCAAACTCAAGGCCCGGGGGCCAAATCCGGCCCGCGACTTCATTGTATGTGGCCCCACAAGAGCTCTGAAAGAATATAATATGTTTATTATACGGTTACAATGGCGATTTACAGAA